GAACCAGGACACGAGGAGTTGAATAGCGGTCGATGGCGACGGGGATGGTGAATTGGACTTTCGAAATGCGTTGCGGTGGGAGATGTGTGGGTATGTGTTGTGGAAATGTGTTGTTGTGTTGGATGCATGTTGTTGTTTTGAGGTGATGTGCATTGTTGTGAAGTGCTATCGCAAAACAATTCGTACCAATTCCAATTCCAACCGGGGCACCCATGCTGACTCCCAGAATGAACGTGCACCCTTGCGACGTTCATTTGATGTCTGGATCGTGTTCAAGTGCTGTACGCAAGGAATCCTATTGTAGGCCCGAAGTGGTTGGTTGTGATTGGTACTCGTTGGTTTTTGGTCGGTTGAGAACTGTCCCAGTCGGTTGTAATCGGTTCCGCTCGGTTGGGATTGGTCCCACATGCGGTTCGGACCCCCTCTCCTCCCCCCCTTCCCACAAGAAAGTGGGGGGGAACAGATTTCAGACCAGGGCCAGCTACTCACGCGTAGAAGTGACGAGACTTGAGGGGAATCTGGCATCGGTCATATCACGACATCATGCTGAACAGTCGTTGATTGCAACTGTGACTGGCTTGGGCGTTGAATTGCACATGCCTGACTTGGTCCCCTATTCCCCATGATGTTCGGGGGCTGGCTTGCCGAAGAGCGTTTTTGAAACATTTCGGGAAATCCCCTTCCAGGGGGCAAAGCTCTTTGCCCGCGGGCGCGGAGGTGGTTTTGAGGTGGTGTGGTTTACAACGCAGTGTTTGGGCGCAGTTGGTACATTACTCTCACTGTACTACTCAGCACATGTACATACCTTCTGTTTAATATTTAGTGTCATGCTCTATCATACGTCGTATTTAGGTTCACCCATCAGGTGTTACATTGTATCATATTGTACTGTATACTATTTTCGGGTATTTAGTTGCATTATGTTCTCATCTAGTTGTATTCCATTTCCATTATTTTCATCATAGCTACTTTGGCTACACGTGTATTCGTACATTATATGCAACGTGTATATTTACAGGTATGTATATACGCACGCATGCAACAATACAAACACAGGCTGAACTTGTGGGTTGGCTTTTTAGGGGCCTCTTGGGGGCCTTTTGGAGCTTCTTGGGGCCTCTTGGGGACCTCTGGGAGTCTCTCGGGGGCAATTCGGGGCCTCCGGGGGCCTCCTGGGGGCCCCTTCGGGCCTGGGGCTCGAAGTGTCCGTTCGAGTTCGCTATCTGGGACTCCTCTTGGGGCTGTCTTTGGGTCTTCTTGGGCTGTCTTGGGCGCCTTTTGGTCCGATTTGGGGCCTTCTCGGGCCGTCTTGGGGCCTTTTTGGAGGCCTTTGGGGCCGTCTTGGGGTGATACTGCGGGCCTCTTGGGCCGTTTTTGAGCGTCGGGACGCCGAATTGGCGAGAGCGCCGACCGGAAATCATATCAATACATCTCATCTTTGGGGCCCACATTTTGGAAGCTTCCGGGGCCGTCTTGAGGCCATCTTGGGCGTCTTTGGGGGTCGTTCGACGACTCGGGGCCTCCTTGGGCATTCTCAAGCGCCTCTCTGGGCCCTCTGAGCTCGTGTCGGGGCCTTCTTGGGCTTGGAAAGCTCACGCGAGAAGATGCGCCTGATCCCCGACGCGACGCAGCAAACCCTGGGGGATTTGAGAACTTGGGCCCTTGGGGCCCGTTGAGAACTTTCAGGAGTGAGGATTGGGGCTCATGGGATGGGGAAAGGATCTGAGGATGCGCCCACGCCGTGCCAAGAGCCACAGCACATATGTATATATATATATACACATACACACACCTCTTGATCTGTATATATGTGATTATATGTGTCAATATGTATGTATGTACGCATGCATGTATGTACGTATGTATGCATGCATGCATGTATGTATGCTGATATGTATGTATGTCTGTCTGTCTGACTGTATGTATGCATGTGTGTATGTATGTATGAATGTATGTATGTATGTATGTATGTATGTATGTATGTATGTATGCATATATATATATGAATATATATATATATATATATGTGTGTGCGGATGCATATACGGTTACGCACATACTAATCAAGAGAGAGTTGCAAATAATGAGCGCCAGAGAGAGTGAGAAAGAGAGAGAGAGAGAGAGAACGAGAGCGACACATAAATGTATGTATGTATGTATGCATGCATGCATGCATGCATGCATGCATGCATGTATGTATGTATGCATGTATGGATGTATGTCTGTCTGTCTGCCTGTCTGTCTGTCTGTCTGTCTGTCTGTCTGTCTGTCTGTATGTATGTATGTATGTATGTATGTATGTATGCATGTATGTATGTATGTATGTACATATGTACGTGTGTATAAACATATATATATATATATATATATGGGAGCGCACGATCGTATCTAGGCGAAGGACCCAACAATGTGCAGTTGTGTGTGCAGCGTTGTGGATGATGCTTTCGGTGGAGCTCGTTATGGGGCCGCGAGTCAGGCGAGGGGTGTGCCGTAATGGGTGGGGAGACGCATGCGGCCGCGGCCACTCGGATGTTCGGTGGAGCTCTCTGTGCGGTTATCAAGCGCCGAATCTGGGTAGGGGAGACGCATGCGACCAAGGCCATTGGAGCGTTCGCTGGAGTTCTCTGTGGGGCCACGGGGCGCTGCATTGGATGGGGGGACGCATGCGAACGTCTCCTCTGGGGCCTTCTGTGGAGCTCCCTATGCCACGAGGCGCTCTACTTGGTGGGGGAGACGCATGCGACCGGGACCACTGGGGCCTTTGGTGGAGCTACCCATGGGGCCACGAAGCGCAGTACTGGGGGTGGGAGGCGCATGCGAACGTCGCCACTGGGGCCTTCGGTGAAGCTCCCTACGGGCCACGGGGCGCTCTTCTGGGCGGGGGGACGCATGCGAACGTCGTCTCCAGGGCCTTCGGTGTAGCTCCCTCTGGAGTCACGAAGCATTGTACTGCATGGGGGAAAAGGCATGCGAACGTACTGGGTGGGGGAGACGCGTGCGAACGTCGCCTCTGGAGCGTTCGGTGGAGCTCCTTACTTGCCACGGAACGCTGTACTTGGTGGGGGAGACGCATGCGAACGTCGCATTTGGGTCCTTCGGTGAAGCTCCCTATTGGGTCATGAAGCATTGCATTGGGTGGGGGAGGCGCGTGCGAACGGCGCCTCTGGGACCTTCGGTGGAGCTCTCTATGGGGTTATGAAGCGCTGTTCTGGGCGGGGGAGACGCGTGCGAACGTCACCTCCGGGGCGTTCGGTGGAGCTCCCGCGACGGAGCTCTGTGCTGGGTGGGGGGGGGCGCATGCGAACGTCGCTTCTGGGGCGTTCGGTGGAGTTCCTATGTGGACACGAAGCGCGTGAGTGGTGTGCCGAACTTGTTGACATGCGGAGGGCAGAAGCACGGATTGGATGAGGGATGGGCGTGAGGAGGAGGAGGAGGAGGAAACGGAGGATGATGAGGAGGAGGAGGAGGAGGAAGAGGAGGACGGCGAGGAGGAGGAGGAGACGAAGAAGGAAGATGAGGAGGAGGAGAAGGAGGAAAAAGAAGAGGAGGCGGAGGAGGAGGAGGATGAGGATGAGGCTGAGGAGCAGGACGTGGAGGAGGAGGGGGAGGAGAAAGAGGATGATGATGATAATGAGGAGGAGGAGGAGGAACAGGATGAGGAGGAGCAGGAGGAGGACATACGCATATGAATGAACATACTAAGACTAATCAGCAACAAACGCGTATGAATACACATGATCATACACATTTTATCGAGAAGAATACGAGTCATGGTGCCAAGCAGCATCATAATAGCACGAACCAGAACAATACTACTGATATACATAATATTGAAAATCGTATTACTCATACGAATGGGAGGCTTACTCGGAGTACTACTTCCATTGCTGGTAATAATGATTATCGTACGAGCACTGGTACTAGTACCACTACGAATGATGGTCACCACCAGAGTTTTCTCATACTCCAGTACTTCAGGTGGTCTGTAGGACTCTTGAAGTATAGCAGTGCCGGCATGGTAGATAACATGTAACATGTAGAGAAACACAGTTTCTATCGAGACGCGTTTTCTCATGCCATAGAGAGTACACAACCCCACGGTGTGGGATAAATAATGGGGGGGGGGGGGGGTACTGTAGAGTTTGCGTTCCGCCAGAAGCAATGCAGTACAGAAGTAACAATCCCACGCCGTGGGATATCTTTGTTCTCGGAGTTGGGAGCGTGCGTCTTCCGTAGCCTTATGCTCAAACCCTGCTAGAACAGTGTATCAATCATGGTAGCGTGAGCGATAGTTTTCAATGCCTTTGAGGATACAGTCTGACGGCAGGCTCCCGCGCGACGGAGCTTTCAGCAGAGCAGCGCCGGTTGGTGATGGACATGATCAACCGCCAGGTGGAGGAGAGAGCCGCCGCGGATAGATAGGCGGCGACGGCCATCATCAAACAGGAACGCGGCCGTGCCAGGTTCAGCGAACAGCTGCAGGCAGCGACCCAGCAGAACAACCAGATGGCCGAGCAGCTCCGTGCCCTGGAGCAGGCACGACAGCAACAGTAAGCGGCGTTCTAGGCATTGCAGGGTCAGCAGCAGCCGCAGCAGCCCAGACTGGGACGTCAGGCCGACTTCCCAAACTCGGCAGACGACATGCCTGTGGACATCAAGTTCGGGAAGCTAGGTCAGCTCACAAACAAGGGAGAGGATTTCGAGGAGTGGAGTTTCAAGCTGAAGTCAGGCATCATGTCGCTCAGCGAGGAGGCGTGCCATCGCATGGATTCCACCGAGGACGACCCAGAGACCGACGTGACCAACGATCCCGACATCGCCAGGTACGGTCTGGAAACGCGATCAAAGAAGCTGTACTTCGCTTTGGTCATGCTCGCGAAGTCGACAGCAGCAAAGCTCGCCAAGAAGGTCTCGTCCAAGAACGTTTTCGAGGCATGCCAGCAACTCGTCAAACGATATGGCCCCGGCGGTGGAGCAAGACCGTGGCGCTGATGGGCCAGGTCTTGGACTGCGCGATCGGCGAGTCCAAGGGCGTCCTGGACAACTCGGCATCGTGGGGGGCACTGGTAGACAGGTGGGAGACTGAAACAGAGGACCAACCTGCGGACAGCGTGAAGTGCCCTGCGTTCATCCCCGAGTCCCCGAAGTTCTTGAAGGGCCATCTTTTGCCTGCCGCCAAGAGGAGAAAGGGCCGCGTCATATTCCGAGCGAGGGTCGAGGACTACGTGCGCCACGCGGTCAACGCCAAGCCCGGGAGGAAAGGCGAGGGCCGAGATGCCGTGGACGTCGGCTTCAACTGCGGCAAGGGCCCCGCCCCACAGGCGGGGGGCACTATGGTGGCAAAGGCAAAGGAACAGACGGCAAGTCGAAGTCCTCCGACAGCGAAGGCAGAGGCGGCAGGTCAAAGTCGTCGGGCGGCAAGGGCAAGGATGGCAAGTCAAAATCTTCGGGGGGGGGGGGGGGGGGGGGGGGGCAAGGGTGCATCTTGGTGCGATCCGCCCTGGCAGAGGGGCAATGCTTGGTCGTGGAAGGATCGGACCGGCTGGAGCGATCGTTCCGACAACAACATTCGGACTTCCTCGAGCGGCCCCTGGTAGGAGACGCAGGCAGCCGACGCGGGCAAAGGGAAGACGATCGGCAAGGGCGGCACCGTCACTCACATCTACGACGACGAGGGCGAGTGGATCATGGGAGTCGGGGGATCTCGGGCGAGGAGCTCGTGCTCTCCACCGCGGCCGCCAAGAGCGAGACCCGCAAGTGCGATTGCGGCGACGTCGGCGACGCAGTCGGCGTGTTGTCTGATTCAGGCAGCAGCGTGACGCGTTGCAACTCGCGGGACTTTGCAAAGTCCCCCATCTGAAGAGAACATCGACATAACGTCGAAACGGCACTGTGCACACGGTCTACGGGTACAAGGCCGTGGTGCTGCGTAAGGACAGCACCAAGACCAAGGTTAAGTTCTTATTTCTCGACGTCGCGAGGCCGATTCTCAGCGCCTCCGACTTGGCTAAGAAGCGCGACACCTCCGCGCATTGCGAGCGGGGCAACAACTACATGGAGCGAAGGACCTCTACGGGTGTCCGAAGGCTTGGGCTGATGGCTCAGGCAGGCCTCTTCTTCCTACAGGAAATGGTCACAGCTGAGCGGCGTGCGTTCTGCGAAGTCGCCAGTGCACCGCGTCTATCGCAATCAGATCGCCACGGAGCTCGACTTGGGCCCCGTGTCAGCCGAGGCGCCGCGTCCCGTGGAAGCGGCGCCAGTGGTTCGAGCTCTGGCAGAACCATCCCAGCAGGAGCGATATCATCGCCTTGAACCGCGCGCAGTTATAGTCCCGGTGCACGGTGCAAGTTCTGCGTTTCTTGGCGCGGGCGAGAGAACGCCCGTCGCGAGGCAGACGGGGTTGACCATGACATCGAGAGTTCCGGCCGACGACTTCTTTATTCGTCGGGCGAGGGCGGTGCAGATGCTGGCGTGTCTGTCCGCGGTGGACTGTGCGTCGGCGGAGGCGAGCCGCCGTCTTGGGCGCGAGGGGCAGCGCCGACAAGTGCGCGATGCGCATTCTGAAGTATTTCGGGGACCAGCTCGGTTGCGAGAAGATCGTTTAGAGGACCGATCCAGAAAACTCGGCTGCCGACCTGATCGGCGCGGCCTGCCGCGGTCGCGACGGCTGGGCGTTCGAGTCTAGCCCCGAGGATAGCAAGGGCAGCATCGGCCTTGTCGCGCGCGCCCACCAGGACGTCGCAGGTCTCATACTTCTGGACGTCGAGAGCAGGAGCCGTGTTGAGCTACCAGCCGAGTTCCCTCTCGAGCGGATTTTTCGGCATGTTGCGTGGCTTATGGACTGATTATGGATCGCCCGTGGAGCTGGAGTCACGCCGTTCGAACTCTAGCATGGAAGACAGCATCGCCGCCTAATGGTTCCAGCGACAGTGATGCGGAAGGAGCCTGGACCTCACGCGCTCAAGATGCGCGAGAAGTTCGGCCGGAGCATTTGGGTTGGCAGGGGCGAGGCCGCCAACTTCCATTTTGATCCTCGCGAAGCAGGGGGCCTTTGAGGCTCGGGCAATCCGACGCCTGTCGCCGAGCGAGCGTCACGATGTCCAACTGCTATTGGCATCGAGGGGCCCCCCGGCAGGATTCGACCTCTCGACGACGGAGCTAGGCCACTGCCCGTCACAGAGGCTCTCGGCCAGCCAGCAGCTCCACAAGTGCCCGCTGCGCCGGGGCGAGCTCAATGTGATCGACCGGGGCAAGCGGCGCGCCGAGTTCAGCCAGAAGTCGCTATCCCATCAAGTGGGGTGGATCATCCTGGAGGCCAGGCCAAGGGCGCTGCCATGGAAGAGCCTCGACAAGGGGCCAAGGCGGAAAGAGACATCGAGGGCAGTAATCCCTTCGAGCCACCGCCAAACAATACTAGAGGCAGACCAGCTACGCGTGTACTGCCACTGCCATCTAGCAGGGAGTCCACTCCTGGTTACTCGGGATGTCTTGGTACATCCTACAAGCATAGCGAGTTCTGCAAGGAGAGGAACAAGGACTTGCTCGAGCACGTGGAGACCGAGAAGCCTGCGGCGAAGGTCCAGCGCGACGAGGAGGGAGAGTTCCTCCAGAGCATCGAACCAGCAGAGGAGGCATCAAAGGTTCGCCGCCGCCGCCGCCGCCGCCGTCGGGCGAAGCGGCTGACGTGGGCGCAAGACACATCTCCAGTTAGGAGGTGAAAGGCATTTTTGACAAGATCCGCCGGCCCGATGATTTCACGAAGGATTTCATCCAACAGGTCTCTGCGAAGTATCACGCCGCGTGCCACGCCAACGAGGAGGGGCATTTCATGAAGGACTTGCTGCGCGACCCGGACGATGTCGATTTTGGCGGCCATTTGGACTGCGACGAGGACGACGGCGAGGCATTGGATCCAGGCCAGGTCAAAGAGGGCTCCCAGAGGGAGCTCGACATGATGCGCGACCTGGACGTCGGCGAATCCGTCAGGAGCGACGAGATAGCCAAGGGTACGAAGATATGGACTACGCGATGGTACCATCGCAAGAAGGCTGCTGGAGTTCGAGATCGACTAGTCGTTCGCCAGTACACGTGGATCGACGGCAAATCCGACGACGACTGCGCCCTTGCGTCCATCCAGCATCGAAGGCATCCGACTTGTCACGGCCGTCGGTGTAGTCGATGGCGCCGATTCCACCGCTGGTGATGTCCCTGTCGCTATCATGCGCGCCGAGTTGGACGAGGAGATATACGTATGGCTACTGGCAGAGACGGGATTGCCAACGGGTGCTGCCTTGCGCTTGAAGAATTTTCCCAACGGACTCAACAAGGCCAGCAAGTTGTTTAGCGAGGACAGCGAGAAGTTGCAGCGCATATTGGAGGAGGAGCTCGGGTTTCGCGGTTTCGCGCGGCACCGGCAAACCCAGTCATCTTGTACAACGAGAGAAGCAGCGTCAAGGTGCCAATCCAAGTGGGCGATCCCCTGGGCATCGGTCAGGAGAAGCAGGTGCTCGCCCGCCCTCGTCGACGAGTTATGGAAGCGCTTGAAGTCCAGAGTCGGTATCAAATTTGGACCAGAGATTTCATGTGTTTTCTTGGAATGCTCGCATCTTCGCTATGGTACCGTTGTCGAGGTGCCGAATAATAATTTCCACGATAACACCCTGAAGGTCATCGGCGTGGATAAGTGCGTCAATGTCAACGCGCCAGGGTCCAAGGAGTGGTTCATCGTGAAGGCCTTGGACATCCAGGACGTCGCACCCTTGGGTAGAATGGGGCATCGCAGGGCCCGACAGGGCGTGAGGAAATTGCAGTATGGATTTGACCAGAGGTTCGACTACAGCTATGAGTTGAAGCTGTCCGGACGAAGTCTCCACGCACCTCGAGCAGTGGACTTGTCGCGGCTCAAGCGCATTTTGCGGCGCGTCAAGGGTACGTTGGACTACGTCATCACGCTGAGCATCACGGACAGGAACGACCTCGCCCGACTCGTCGGCGCCAGCGACTCGGACGGCCAGCGACCCTGAGTCTAGAAAGAGCTCCAGGTTGGGCACGGTATCATGGGGTGGTTGCCTCATCTCTCAATTCCCCCGTGCGCTGGAGGTCGGAGCAGTGTCGTGACCGACGGGGGAATACTACGCATCATGCTATCTGACAGGAGGCATGCTGTATATCTCATCTATCCTTGACGACCTCGGGTGCTTTGTCGAAAACGTCATCGAGAGCGGCAGCAGATTTGGAAAGTCCATCGCACTACGCCGTGGACTTGGGAGAGTGCGACAATTGGACGTTCGTGTTCTCTGGCCTCAACAACTGGTGGCCTCGCGTACAGTCTAAATCCAGAAGATGCCAGGCGCCGAAAACTGGGCAGACGTCAGCGCGAGGCTGCTGGGCGTGAGGGCCCTAAGGCGCCACTTTCAAACTCTGGGCATGCGCCGGTTCGTGAGTGGCGAGCTCTTGGGCGCAGAGGACGTCGACGCCGAGGGCGAGAACGACGTTGACTTGTTCGGAAAGGAGATTCAGTGCACTTCTATGGGCAAGGCACTGACGTGTTCAACAGCAGGAAGCAAGCGTTTCATCCCGTGCATGTCGTTTGTTTCACACGCGGCAGGCGCTAAGGGTGCCGACCCAACGTGCATGGGCCCAATCACTACGGCCAACTTCGACGGCTTTTACGCGTTTGTCCTCATCGCGTTCTTGGCAGGTGCGAGCATGGTTCTGTTGATATCGAAGTGCCTGTCAAGCATTCGTGGATGCAGGGCGCAGCGGACGGTGGGCCATTTGACCTCTAACCAAGGTCCGGCACCACACTCCGCTACAGATACTTCGCTGGACGAGAAGGATTACTTCGATCCTCTAACTTCGGTCTACCAGAGGCCGAAGAGGGCAGCCAATCAGTTCGACGCGGAGGACCTCAAGCAGTGCGTCTACATCGCATCGGAATACAGCAAGAACTACCACGCGAGAGGCCCATGCCGCTCGATCACGAATCTCAACATCTCGATGCATTTTCGCATTCGCGAGTTTTGTTCCTCGATGACCGAAGGGAGTTGTTTATTGTATCTGAGAGCGGCAGAATGACTCTTGCATTTCATATTTCATTCACCGACAGCGGCGAAACCTCCGCAGCAGTGGCGGTTGCGACTCCCTTGTCCGAAAAGGCGGGGTGCCAGAGCTTTTCCCATAATCCAATACTTCAGGTGATCAGTAGGACTCGTGAAGTATTGCAGTACAGGCGTGGTCTATAACATGTAAAAGGCTGGGAAACCTGGCCCCTATCGAGACGCGTTTTTCCATTTCATGAAGAATGCGCAACCCCACGACG